TCCTACGAAACTTTCAATAACTATAACCTGCTGAAAATTAACTGATAGTGAGAATTCTTGAAATAAGCGGAATGTTAACATTCCAATAGTATCGAACAGGTAACAAATACGAGGAATTTTGAATGTTTAAAACAAATCATCCCATACTGCTTATTCACTGACCAAATTACATCCACGACGATAACAGTAATCATTTTTCATTCTCAAAAATGGCTTACATCAACGGATTTCCACAGGAGTATCTTTTTTGCTAAAAACGTTCATGAAACTACTTCATATGATAATTATCATTATTATAAAATGTGGGTAATAGTGAATTTCACAAAATAAATTCTGTAGTTGTTCCTGATATATGGCTAGCTGAAAATAACCAGTGTTATTTGACACCTTCATATAGGAAACTCAAATCAGCGATAGCTGATCAATATGAAGTTGGGAAGGATCTCGTAAGAATAATAAATACGAATAGACACAAAGTAAGGCTTATTTTCGATTGAATTTCCGAAGGATATAATTTGAAATTTTGTAAACTACGTGATTCTTTCTATTCAAAATTTCAAGTGACGATTTCTAATGTTCCCATTTTGCATGTGGAATGCAGGGTTCTAATCACTACACCCTGCATATATAAAGTGTATTCAAGGTAAACAACTAATTTTCATATTACAGATGATGTGATTAAGGCTCGGAATGGAGATTGTTTCGAAAATAAACACAACAGAATCATCATAAAAAAAGTCTTCAGTAGTAGTGGTTCATCTGAATCGTCTGACGAAGAATTCCTTAGTAGATTACTGGGAGTACCAGAAGGTGAAAAAAAAAACATCAAGAATGATTGATGTTCACTACTGAATATTTCAACTTTCTCCAAAAAGTAGAAACTCACAAAAAATTAAATCGTCTGTTGGAAATGAAGAAGTGCTCCTGAAACCATCTTTGAATAAGAACAATCAATACTATCTTCAAGATAGGATAAAGAAAATCATTGTTGAAGTATGTAACAAGAGATAACTAATTCCCTTGCTAATACTACAAAATATTGAATTATTTCTGTGAAATATTGAGAATACCTAATATAAAAAATTCACAATGAGTAACTATTGTTAGATTAACTAACAGAAAACAACTAATTCATTGGCTAATACCACAGATTATTTTATTATATCTGATGTGTATAGAAAAATGATATATTTCATTCTGAGAATGTATTTTCTATAACATTCATTGGGAAATTGTTATTTATTTATCATTATCCAAGCGATAAAAAAAACAATTGGAATTGAGTTACTCGTTTCTAATATTCATTTCGTCTACCTATATCTCTTTATAACATCAATAACGATTAATTCACATTATTTTTGTTTTTCCAGTTCCAAATCCACATCAATCCAGCTCTAAACAAAACAACAGTTCACAACAATACGACAGCTCTCAACAAAACTGTTCACGACAAACACTTAATGCCAACGAATAGTTTGAGTTCAAAGTCATGAAAAAATCAACAACACTTTCAGTGAAAATACAATAAATTGCTGAAGATATGTCAGACATACGAAATAAATTAACAGAGAAGGATTGTAACAGTTGGAGCGAAGACGAAGTAGCTCATCAGTTTTTCATTGATTCAGTTGGATCTTTCGAATATTTTGAAAGATATCTTGAGGGTGAGGAAAAATATAGAAAATTCGTGAGTACCAACCCATTACTACACATATTATATGTATAGAACACAACACTTCATCTTCCAGAAAGTAGATTATCATGCTTTAGAAAATGTTTATCCTCTACAAGGATGCAATGTGCGTGGAAAAATAGATGATCTGATGATGAGTGTTAGATATAGACATATGAAATCGGAAAGACAGTGAGTGTAATGAAGAACCGTAAAACGAGGCTACATGAAAACTGAATTTCAGCCACCACTGTTAAGCCACGTTAGTTGATGATAGATTGTATGATACGTAGGTCCGGGAGAGATCGACCATCGGGAGACCGACCAGTACCAAGAACCAAGCAATAGAGGGCTCTGGGTGCCATATATATGAAATGAGCTGGTTGAATCCGACACGTCAACATGGCCTGAGATAACAATTCAAATTTATGAATTGAGTTTGAAAATTTTGGATTTGGACCAGATCGAGAGTCTGTCCGAATATGGGCTTTTCAACTTGCTAAAAAACTAAATTCGAAGCATACATTCAATAAATAAAAGGCAAAGCCGGCTACGATTGGCTCAATCAATTTTTGAGACGACATCCGTATATATCGATTAGAAAAGCCGAAGGAATTTCTATTAATCGAGCAACTGGAATGAATCGTGAGACTGTGGAACACTATTTCACCCTTTCAGAAAATATTCTCACTGATAACCAACTTCATAACAAACCTTCGAATATATTCAACATGGACGAAACTGGTTTGCAACTGAACAATAGACCAACCCAAGTGTTAGCCGCAAAAGGCTCAAAAAATGTTTCTTCGTTAACATCAGGCGAGAAGGGCGAAACAATTTCGGTCATAGCGTGCTTCAACGGTGAAGGAATGTTTCTCCCACCTTCCTCAATATTCGGAGGAAATAATAGAAAGGAGGAATTTTCAGATGGAATGCCCCCTGGCTCCCAAATAAGTATGTCCGAGAAATCTGCGTATGTCAACGCAACCATTTCCGAGAACTGGTTGGAGTTTCATTTTCTGCCACGAAAACCAGCTGGAAAAGTGTTGTTGATAGTCGATGGCCATACTTCGAACACGAATTCTGTGGAAGTTCTAGAATTATCCGAAGCAAATACCATTATTCTACTTTATTTACCGAGCCACACGACTCATTAGCTACAACCACTAGATAGGTCCTTTTTCAAGTCTCTGGAAAACCATCACTACGATTCTTGCAACTGTTTTTCAAAAACAAATCCAAGTAGAAAAATAACGAGGATGGTCTTTGGAAACCTTTTGGGACAAGCTTGGGGTAAATCAGCAACTGTGGAGAATGGGATGTCTAGTTTTAGAGCGACAGGTATTGCACCCGTCAATCCAGGAGTCATTCCAGATTATGCGAATATCAATATTCGAATGAAACAAGATGCAGGAGCCAGGCATGGTTCCAATAGTACGGTTGAAAATCCATCTCCTCCTTCAACTCCGTCATGGTTCCGTAAAGTTCAGACAATTGACACTCGCATTTTGTCACCCCGGCCTGGTTGTTCGCACGACCCTGACACTGGAACAGTTGAAATCGACCCCACACTCGACCTCACACCAGGAAAATTGTTGGACAACGTGATATCGCCAGTTCCTGAAACTAGTGCAGAAGCAGTAGTCAAAACACGAGGCAGCTTGCAACAATCCTCATCAGTTCACAACGCATTGAGATTCAGAAGGACAAACAGAATACAAAGAGAAAGAACATATGTCAAATTCAGAAGAGAACTGTGGTCAAACAGAAAAAACAATTGGAATCTTCAGATTCGGACAGCGAAAGTCCAGTATTGTAGGAGAGTGATGTATCAGCAGAAGAGTGGGACAAAAATGAGTGGGTAGGGTGTGGGATCAATTATTTTTAAACTACTAAGAACTAATAGAGAAGACTGGCTCAAATGTGTGAACTGCAATCGTTGGTTCCATAATGGATGCTCAAAATTCGAGAATTTTTGTGATTCATATGGAAAACTGAGAAACAAAACTCGAAAATTTTAAGTTAATTTATTCGGTTTTATTCTTATTGTACTTAGGCGCCGCTGACTGGGGTTATCCGTGCGATTCAGATGACATTGAAGAAACCGTAAAAACTCATCTTGGCCGAGTGGGAGAACAAGTGCCGTTATTTGGGGACAACGGAACAGGCGAAACCTTGCTGAAAAACTTGGACACAAAGATCAACTTTCGAAAAGGCTGTCGCAATCCATTGAAGAGAGGAGGGCCAGAGTTTCTCCGGAAGTAAGATATGTTTTGCCTGAGGCAATCGTCAACTACGACGAGACCAATTTTACTGACGATCCTGGCCGTGTATAAGTAGTTGTTGGCAGGAGTTCTAAAAGAACTGAGAAGGTTATGGACACATCAAAGGCAGCAACTTCAGTGATGTCTTAGTGATCAGCTTCAGGGTCTATGCTTCCTGTCTACATTGTTTACAAAGCTGATCACCTATGGAATACTTGGACAGAAAACAAACCTTTTTATGCCAGATATAATCGATCGCGATCGGGATGGTTTGATGCTAGTATTTCTGAAGACTGGTTCGACAAAATCGTATTTCTATATCTTGAAACTTCACCACCTGGCCCTAAAGTTCGGATTGGCGATAGCCTGGCTAGCCATCTGTCATCTGCTGTTATAACAACATGTGAGGAGGATAAAATCCGCTTCATTTTTCTGCCGCCTAATAGTACTCAACTCACACAGCCATTAGATGTAAGCGTTTTTAGACCAATGAAGGCAGCGCGGAGAAAGATTCGACAAGAGTGGAAAGAACATAACAAGAAAAGCATCAGGAAAGAA